TGGCCGTTCACGGCTAATGACGGATCCCTGGTCACCAGGAACCCAGGGCCCGTCTCTACTCCTGTCTCAGACTTGGTCCCTTAACCATCACTTCACTGTCCGAATGGCTAGGCAGTAAGCCCCGCAGGCCACGCCACCCCTACCCCATGAGTGCACAGGCTCTGCCTGCCTCAATGAAAGCACCAAGGGCCAAGTTCCTGGGAAGAGGAGAAAACAGGGGAGGGCAGCAGGTCAGAGGGCGGAGGTCAGAGGGCAGAGGGTGAGGGCGCGCAGCGGAGGCTTCCTCCCCACAGCGTGGCCACTTGTACAGCCCAGCCCTGGCGGGTGGGGGGGATGGAGAACCTACAGCAGCTGTGGGTTTGCAGAACTCCCTGCTGCACAGCACTGGGTGTGTGTGTGAGGGAGACAGGCAGACAGGGACATGGACACATACACACACACACACACACACACACACACACACACACACGCCGGCCGATCCCAAAGACCAGAGACGCCTTTGTCCAGGTGTTTACTTTACTAGAGAAAACACAGGTTCTGAGAGCCTCTGCTAGGTCCCGTCACTTTAGTTCCGCTGCAGCTGGGAGTTACCCGCGGGAGTTTCTTCTCCTCGGCCGAGTCCACTCTCCACGTGGCGCCGTGTGCAGCAGCGTCTGGGGGGAGGGCCGGTGGGAAGCAGGAGCGTCTGGGGGGAGGGCCGGTGGGAAGCAGGAGCCGTCTGATCAGCAGCGCGAACGCCCCACTCGCTCAGCGCAGCGCCACGTGCAGCCCCTCTGGCTCAGACAGCACTGAGCTCATCCTATGTAATAAAGAGCTAATGTGCAAATGGTCGTCACGCCCTCACGCCAGGGCCGGGGGACCTGAGGCTGTGCCCCCCCCCCCCAGCAGGGCTTGACGGGGGGGGGCCTGGCCAGGTCTAGGTCTCATGCAATTTTGAGGTGCACGTGGGTGAGCGGGGACTTGACTCTGGGTCCCACAGTGCACCCCAGACTCTGACAGGAGGGAGATTTTCATATACATTTTACTAATTTGTGCACCAGGCCACTAGTCTCTTATAAACGTACTTTCTATTTTTCATTTTCCAGAAAAGGGTTTCCACCCATACTTTCGGTATCACGATTTTCTTCCCAAACCCCCAGCCCCCAGCTCAGCTGTCAGACTGCCCCCCCGCCCCCCTCCCCCAGCCTCTGGCGTTCGAGGGAGGGAGAAGTGTGACCGACCTCCCCCTTCTCGGTTCCCCACAAAACTCAGCCCACGTTCTGTGCAAGCGGCCCTCACCTTTTGCTTGGACGCGCTCTCTCTTCCCCCACGGGGTCCGGCTCCCGAGGTCCAGTGGATGGACCATCTCTTTAACAAGGCGGCTCCCACCACAGGAGCTGCTGTGGCCCGGCCACGCGGGCTGCTCCGAGGCCCAGATCTGGACGCTGCAGGACGGGCAGCAGGAGGGGCGAGCGTGA